ATATTCTTAATATCCATACAAATAGGTTCAATAAATACTTACCAAGGCATAATAGCTCTAAAGAAAAAAAACATGATTTAAGAGACAAAGAAATTATATCTTTGGACATCACAGTAGTGACATTTTCTAAATGATTGCCATGAGTAATTATTAATAGTTGTCGCAATTAATGTTCCAATACTAACAAGTAGTGACCATTCCAACTATGGAAACTCGTACTATTTTACCTGTAACTTGTACCTCAAGTGTCTATTATAAGTGTCGTTGTTTTATGTTATTCAAAATGCTTATTAAAATTTGCTTGAGTAAACATCATTTTAAAATTTGTTGGTTAGAATTTCACCCACAGTTAACCCTGTTTTAACACGATATTCAGATTAAGAGCCTACATAATACATGGACTATTACAATGATAAATGCCCAGGGGACACGCGACTCTAGTCGTTGTAATAAATATTCAATACTTTACATTACTCAATAGTTAAGTAACATAAGGCACAAGCGTATAAGGGAATCACCCAAATTTATGCTGTTGAATAATTTTAAACTGTTCAAAACACTGTTTCCCCACACTACGATGTTTAGCCGTTTTACAAACGTTTATTCGAGGCTGAAAGCTACGTATCTATGCTATGTATGGAAATTGGGCTCTAGTCTTCCCCTTGCTGGGGACCAAAGGACGGAGATCTTTTACCCTGACCGGAAAAGCCAAGCCAGCTTTGATTACAATTGTTAATTAACCAATATTGAAACCTTCCACACTAACCTATAGAAATATGATTGAGCACAAGATGATTTGAGATTGAAACTAAGCTATTTACACAGTAAGTTATTGTAATTCGACTAATGGTGGCCCGTTTTCTGGCATTTTAAGCGAAACCAATCATTTACCCATATTAAAACGATTCCAGTGAAGGACCCTAAAATTTTTATTTGAATTCTACTCTTAGAGCTGAACTTATCTGGGTAGGAATGAGTTATATGTTGAACATAGTTTTCAGGATGATTCTCAAAACGTTTGGCTAGGCAAGAAGGAGACGTTTACGAGAAGAGGAGTTTATCGTTAGACAGAAACTGTGAACGGCAGGCTCGAGGTCGTAGCACCGTGTAGCCGCGTGGTGCTAAGCGTTACAATTGTATTCAAAAGGAGTGTTTAATAAAAGGTTAACATGGAGCTGTGGAGTTTAAATGTATACGATTCTACTGACAATCAACTGAACAATGTTTATTAATGTTTTTTTTTTACAATTTAAGATCACTACTAGGTGTCAGAAGACTACACATGTATACATAGGCTGAATTTAATAATATTTTGCATATAATAATATTTTAGAGATTCAAATATGTTTATCACAGAAGTTTTTTGATTAGCAGAAAAAACAAAATTTTGTTATAACATCTTTAAAAATTAACAATAAAAAACCACGACAAAACAAACCCGGACCGCCATGTGTAAAAGGTTTATTTTATCATAAACATGAAAGCCAAAGAACTAAGCAAACGCTTTAATATTCCACTGAACCTAAACGGAGAGGATTATTCTAATGAGGAGGTTTTATGCACAAATCTCCACGAACTCTGAAAAACTGTTTGACTAAATGTCTCTTTATTACCCTAATCCAGCAGTTAAGAGTAAGCCAACTTACTAATTTCTGTTAGCTTTGTCTATAGTCGGTTTAAAATTATTTTTAAACTTGAAAGCGTGTTACTTTAAACTGTGAATCCAGATTTAAAAAGAACCAATAGTCTAGTTTAAATATATTACTTCATTTTTTTTAATTAAGATTTTTACTTTCTCAATTATTAATTTTGCAGCAACAAATTTCCATTTATATGCTACTGGTGGAAGGAGATAATGCTATGGCTATCCCAAGTATATTTACCACGAGGCTCTACCTTATAGGCAGCGTGTTTGTAATAAATCAATCTGTGTGTCCTAAATAGTCAAAATAAATTATATTTAACTTACAAAATATATTGGTACGGATTCGTTGGCATTAGATTCATTTCCCTAAGTAACCAAACAGATGATAAGTACAGTATTTAGAATAAATACTTTTTTATAAATTGTTAAAATATGTATTATATATTCATGTAAGGGTTAAGTTTAAGGACCCTAACTTTTGCTGGTCTAAATAAATAATATTTCATTTAATTAATTATTCGTTCAAATAGTCAACTTATATTTTTGAAATATAATGCTACAAAATGAAAAAATATATCTTACAAGTTTATTTTAAGATATTATATTTATCGTTCTGGAAAGATTATTCTGCACGGTCGTAAATGAATATTCATTCGATTCAATAAAACTTACGACTTCGATGCCTTATCGAAGCACTAACAGTAAACCGCTGAATAAAATAACCTGCGATATTCGAGACGATAGCGAGGATTTTGCTGGTTTAGTGCGCATTTTATGTTCAATTATACCATCAAATAGATCCACAAATCTGAAGCAATGGTCAATATCACCTGACGATTCTCCATAAAACTATATTTACCGCCGAAAATACTGATCACTAGGTTAACTGGGATAGTAGAAATAAAGTGAGTTAAACACATTTTGTTGCGATAAACAATGAGATCGATAAGGGTTTATTATACTGAACTGTGTATGCATACTACAATGAAATTGGTTGTAACCATATTTAAAATTAAAAATTACCAGGCTTCTTCATAATATAAAAATGCTTAAAAAATTTTATAAAAAGGTATCTACTGTGTATTAATTATATTAACAATAACAATTCATACTTCTGGACTGCAGTTATTTTAGTATAAGCTTATGTAAGGTTAAAAATATAAACTAAAAAACTGTAACATGAATGGAATATAAATTTATCATCAAATCTTATTTATCATCGTATTAAATTTCGTTGTGTAGTTTGCAATACTGAGGATTTAAAGTTCAAAACGAAACTGTTAATGCAATGCATTTATATCCAACTGATTTGGTATTTTGCATCAATGAAACTGGATAAAATAAGTGACTAGATAAGGATACACTATAATCTATACTTAAAATATTGCAAATTTTTCTAACAACAATTATTACTACAACCCAGTTTTAAGATCACTAAGATCACATTTTACTTATGCCATCATCATGAAATTATGTCATCATAGTTATACCTATAATGCAAGTATGTACTTTTCGTAAAACCCATCCACATTCTGTTTATATGCCACTTTAGGTTCTTAGTTAAGAATACTGAGTTGTATTAGTTAGCTTTTATCTAATTAATTAATAGTTGCTGTTCCATAAGTTTCCATAAATTTATACTAAGTTTGCCAGTACTTTTCAAACTTAAAACACCATTAAGTGTGTATCATTGTTTTTTCTTGTACAAAATCAAACATAACATTACCGGTCGTTATTTGTACAGCTGTTACAGAAAACTTAAACAAAGATGCAGCCTATCACCAAAGTTTTGTGCTCCGTGCTTCATGTTTTGTAATTATAAAGCCTTAATTCTCCGTAGAAAATTTTATTATAATTTAAATAGAAGCAATTTGCAATCTTAAGCCCCCGGACAATAATTTATCTTTTATCCAGTTTAATAAACGAGCAGACTGAGTAAGAGTTATGTCTTAGAGCTCCTAAAGATTGGGTAGGGACTCTCACAGGCGAGCCGTGTCTACATTAAATATGTCACACATATCAGATCCATCCATTAATATATTAACTCACATAAAATATACAGAGTGTCCCAATATTACTGACCCAAACTTCAACAGGTTATCTATGTAGTGGGTTGAGATATCAAATTGAAACTTTGCATAGTAGTTGGTTTTAGTAATTTACATTTCCTTTATGATAAAAAAAATGTCACTTCCGGTTTCAAAATGGCGACCATAACATATTTTCAAAGCTTAATTTCTAAAAATGCAATATTCTATTGACAATTTGTTATGGCCACCATTTTGAAACCGGAAGTGACATTTCTTTTGAAAATCACAAGGAAAATGTAAATTACTAATATCAACTACTATGCAAAGTTTCAATTTGATATCTCAACCCATTACATAGATAATTTTATTTTTATCTTTAACACATACAGACATATAGACAGAAAACTAAGTGAGATAGGACAATACATTATAAAACAAATTTTGTTTATTTTGACCCATACAATAACCTGGTAAAGTTTGGGTCAGTAATTTCGGGACACTTTGGGGCTATTGAGTAGGGACTGAATTAGTTTTTAATTACATAATTAATTTGATATATTAGTAACATAAAGTGTAAAATACTTCATACATAACTTAAAACACCGTTTGAATACTACCAACAACGTTTAAAAAAAATTTTTATTCTGTTTTTTAAGAAACTGTTCTGTATCCTACAATCTCAATTTTAAATGCACGTCTAAAGAATTATCTGCTCTTAGAATATAAACGTACTTTTCAGGCAGGATTGTTAAAATCATAATTTTTTTCAAATGTGACCTAATTAAGTATTTTAGTAGTATAACCTTAAATAAAACCCCGAGTAATTTTATATCAGCCCTTGCAGTACAAGAATCCCAACAGATTGTATAAAATAAATGGGTTTGAAAGAAACTAGTACCAGTACCATTTGACCACAAAAATAATATTTTTCCCCTCAAACACATATTTCCATTAATACAAGTGTTTGTAAATTTTATATTTCCACCGAGTATTCGTTTCCTATTTTTAAATAAAATACAAAAATCTGAAAATTAACTAAGACCAATCAATGTATGCTATTTCTCATCTATTCTCCATTTTATATTACCAATTTCATTTCATGTTAGAATAGCCAAAGCATTATACAAATATGTGTATAAACGATAATGAAAAAAAAAAAACACAAACTAATAATATACACAATTATGTCGTTTTGCAAGTTCATGTTTACCTGCGGGAACCAAAAAAGCTCGGTGTGATCGTCGCAATGTTTTGATTTTTAATGCCACATTCACATCAGAGGTGTAAATGTTACATTGAAGGGTAACAGTACGATTTTTGTTAAGGTGAGAAAAATGGAGTGGAATTTTCGAACGCTGAAGAACTGGATTTGGCGTGGCATTGGCGCTGAACCCGACCCTGAAGAGGGTAAATACCTTTCTGCGAAACGTTCTATTATCAATCCGCTGTCAGCTGTTATCAGTAATAATACTCCACCAGCACAGTTGATACTTGGAAAACACAATACATATTTATTAGTCAAGTTGAAAAAAGTAAAACTCTTAATGAAAACAATCTGGAGTATTATTTACATTGTTTCAATTGTATGTCTTATCGATTTTATCGTCTTGAAAATGTTTACGAAATATGAAAGTTAACTATGAAAAGAGTCAGTAAACGTTGTTTAAATTGGTGATAAGTGTTATTGAAAAGATTGTAAGTAAACCATTTCCTATGTATGTAGATTAGGAATATTGATGCTAGAAGTTTTTTGAAAACGTTTTATCTACCAATTCAGCTAACTGGAACACAGCCTATTGCTTCAAAATAGATATATATAGTTCAACATAACAAAACATGAAATGACAATAAGCCAGTTTAATATTACTAAGTACATAAACTCATTGGCTAAATATTTTTATAATGCCATTATTTCGAACATTATAGCTCTGAAGCTATCCAAACATACAGTTTACATTCATTTTATATGTGCACATTGAAGTATAAATGTATTCAGTACAAATATACAATCCATATTCAATGGAGCGTCTAAGAACACAAATGAACATTTCAAAGTCCTAGTAGACAAGTTCTTCAGATGCAAATAAACTTTAACTGGAATATCTACGCGTATATCTTTATGAAATGTTTATGCTTCGTGTAGATTTCGATATGTAAAACACAGATAAGACATTACAATTGAAACATAAACGTTGGATATCCGCTTTGCTGATGTTATCCTCGTTGTTTCAGTATGTTGCATGTCTCGGATTATATTGATTGTTAGTAGCCTGAGGTCATCTCCACTCGACTGTTTGTTCTGCATCTTCCGTTCGCATGCCTCTTTATTTCTACATTCCAATCTTGACATTTCATCTCAGATATTTTCCTTCTGCTTTTTGTTTTCACTATATTCACAATTCATACTTTCACTATTTTAAGCCAGGTAAGAAAATCGGTTACATGTTAGATTGTGTGTTTTGTAAACTTTACTTTCATAGATATAACTGCTTCAAAAATGTTAAAAATTAAGATTTTTTTTTGTTTGAGTAAAACTAAAAATATAAAAAAATAATAAATAAAACGAAACTAAATGTATCAAACAATCATTGAGGTAATTTTTTTTATTGATAGTAATCTGTAATTATAAAGCGACTTGAAGCACTGTCTCTAGCTAGACAATAAAAACACTTGATTTTCAATTCTTACTACCATTTCCCACTGACGAACTTGTTAATAAGTATTAAACCAGTAAGATATATGATTTTGATTAGTGTAATAGATATGAAAAAAATGGAATTTAAATATACAACTAATGATTACATTAAAGTAAATAGAAATGTTGAGCTTTAGTTATGTAAAATAATAACAAATGAATCGTAGCATTAAAAATGATAATTGGTAACTGTAGGCTGTGCAAAATATTGTGTACAGGAGTGATGAATAAAATAAATCATTCAGACACAATTATATTATCATTATCGTTATCATTATGAGATGCACCATTTAGGTGCGTATTTTAACCCAGTAAAAAGTCATCCCAGTATAAATGATACATTAAATATTGAAACATGAAGGGATTGAAGTGAGTCTGAATGAAACAGTATTAACGCGAAAACTCATTTTATATCTGTCAATATCACGAACAATATCTAAAAGAATAATTATTTTCTGTGAGTAAATCCTGTCAGACCTTTTAGAATACTTTATAGTCCGGTGTGTGTAAACATTTTAAGATAAATTAATTTAAATAAATACTTTTAGGCCCGGTTTCCCCAACTCATTTAAACTTAGTTTTAAGTTAAACGGCGATTTAAACTTAGTTTAACTTTGATTTGTGTTTCCCCAAATTTAAACTAGGTATTAATCTAAGTTCAAACTAAACCACCTCTCGACTTGGTTTAACTACCGGGGATAAAATAAACTGAGTTCAAATTAGTAAATTACAACAGTAACATAACCTCAAATCAAAACAAAAAGTAGGTGTTAAAACAATAATAATTGAAGCAACTACAAATTCATTTGGACGAAAATAGGCTTGGTTTAGGGCTAGCTTATAAGTTAAGTTTTATTTATAATTTATTGTTTTTATTGAGTTCTTTTTTTTGTACATTTGATTTTATTTCAAGTTAGGCTACTGTTAAATGCAGTATTTGACCCTTAACTGAAACGGAAGAGTTTAATAGACATTTTCGAAGATGAAGATTATGACTCTTTAGTACCTAGAACAAGAGGGCCTACTAAAATAAGGGACAGAATTGGCCATTTCAATAAATGGAATGAATCTGAATTTGACAACAACTTATAATAACTTGATTTGATAACATAACCTTAAACAGTGATGCTATTCCGTGTGCTATTCTAGCTGCATTCGCACTTTGCTGTTCTGAGTTGTAGCGCAGCGTTGTGGTGGTCGTAGGAAACACTAGCCCAAAGCCCACCGAAGATTCCTTACAAATACACATTCAGGATTGCCAACCGCTCGAATTGCCGTTTATCTTAAACGAAGGCAGTAAAATGTTGGAGAAACCGAACACACAGTTTAAACGGAGTTCAAAAATAAACTAGTTTATTATAAACGTAGTTTACACCATTTTGGGGAAACCGGGCCTTAAAAAAAAATTTCCCTAACCAGACAACTTAATAATAATCTCATCGTTACATAACTACAACATAAAAGTCATAATACAGAGGATGTGTGTAAGTTAAATCTTTAATAGTTCGAATATTGTTTAGGAAAATATGTTACAATCTTATGTATTATGTTTGAGAAGGTCTTTTTACTTTTGATTGTACTTAAATCTAAAGTTTTAACATTTTACGATGTCAAGATGAAGTGAGGCAATTGATTGTAAAATAGATATATTGTAGTGTTCGGTCTCTTACAATAATTAGAAAAAACCCCAATTTGAATCCGAAAATAGAGTTTACTATCCCCAAACTATGATCGTAATTTCTAAATCACTTCTATCCTAGCATCACAGACAATATATAGAACACCCACATCAATTGTCTACTCTCAGCGCTAGCATTTAACAAAAACAAAACAGATTTTTAGGTTTAATGACAATTCCGGCTTTTTACATACAGTCCACAGTGCATAAACCCTTGGCATCCTGTAACATTAGTGGTTGAAGGGTCAACCACTAATAACAGTATCCCAAGGGTGGGATACTGTTATTTTATACTAAAACTTATTCAAAATGTTATTCCAATATCTACTAGTATCTATCCACAGAGCACTAAATAAGAATTTCTTATTTAGTGCTCTGTGTATCTATCTATCTTTAGAAAACATATAACATAACAATCTCAACGTTACAATACAACTACTTAGGTAACAGCATAGATTAAAGGAGTAGACTACTCTTTGGTACTAAATGTATACTCCTTTAATCTATGCTGTTACCTAAGTGGTAGTATTGCAAAGTTGTCAGTGCTACATTACGTGTTTTCTAAAGCTAGATACTAGTAGATATCGGAATAACCTTTTAAATAAGTCTTGGCATAAAACCTACCTTTATAATTCTTCCATTCAGGCAATTTACACACTCTAATTGATATGAAAACTAGTTAAAAATAATTAAAGTAATGTACATAAACGGGTAAACTTGATGTTATGGGGAGGATAAAGATCATAATATGGCTATACTGCAGAAATTAAAAAAAACATAGATAAATTTCTTGAGATTTATTAGTTTAAATTAATTAAATCAAGCTACTAAAAAGCATTTAACTGAACCGACCTCATCGTACTTTACATAAACGGTTTCTTTGAATTTGTGAAATGTAGGTAGTTAAGGTAAAAAAAGTTTCCTAATAACATGTTGTCATCTCAAAGATGGGGATAAAGTTAATCCGTCGGAAAACATCGTTTACTGGACAAATCTTTAGATCTTGGACAGCTTTGCCTTGAGAAAACTTCCGTCGCTTGATGCAGTAAAACGGTTCGTGGTGTTTATGTTGTCACGCGAACAGAAGGTGGGCTATTGGCAAAAATGAGTTTTGCCATGAAAGCGCAGCACGCCACTTGGTTCTTACAGGTGAAACTACAAAATGTTGTCTTGTGTTCTAAGACGACAATGTGTGTATAAATTGTCGAATAACATTGGTATCGGAAACATTGTAAACTGTGAATTGTAGAATTCTACTATTGTTGATCCTTAGTAGGTCAAAATATGTATGCGAAATCTTAGCTTCTTGGAAAACAAAAATCTACCTTGGTAGTATGTATAATTGTTGGACGAGCGTAATTCGTAAATGATATTTTACTTCATTTATTGTTTATTTTGTTGTTTAGTTTTGCAAATAACAAGTTCAGGCTCATGTACATTATTTTTGTTTGTTTGATTCTATCACAACGCAAAACAATGGAACCTAGATACTATATATTTACTACGTACCTAAATCCGTGTCGTTGCAAACAAATATTTTGTGCTGTTGCATTTGGTTGATCTTGTCTTAGATTCTAAATAAATCGGGCAAAACACTCTAGGGTCGTCTCAAGCGTGCCTGTTTTTTTATAGTAACATGTTTGTGAAATTTCCTCTCAGACCAGGACCACACCATCGTCATGAGCCAGCTGTCCATACAGTCCTAGAGTGTTCTAGTTATAGAAGTGTGTATACATTTGTACAATTTATGGACTTTTTTGTTTCAGAAATCGACCCAAACGACCCGGAGGCCCAGAAAGCTGCGGTTAAGATACAAGCGGTGTTTAGAGGACACAAGACGAGAAAAGAGATGAAGACAGACCAGGACGACACAGAAGTGCAAGACTTTGAAGCAGAATTCCGTCCGGACGATAAAGGTTGGTACAACGACGTTAAAAGGAATCATTTGCTGAAATTCCCCAATATTAATAGATTTCACTACTTATCAAAAATAAATATCAACTCAAAATAGATTGCCAAGAACAAATTCTTTCGGTAGGTACAACTTCTTGGCAACTTTGCCAACAAAACGTTTACTCAATATCATTTGCTGGTTCATCATGGGTTGATCTGTGACATACAAAAACAGTTTTCGGATTATTTCTATTTCAATCATTGCGAAAAAGGTTTTTAAAAAGGAAGAACCTTCAAAAGAATGTTTTTATTCCAATAATTATACGAATAAAATGCCATTAAATTCAGTAATATTCATTCTATAGTCACCAATGTTGGTAATTAACACTGGGTTCATGGCTCTACGGAAAATAAATGAGCTTAAAAATCATCTAGTTAACAACCCCTCAACACTCCCCTCCCTCAACCAACCCTCAAACTTGTTTGTTATTAACCCTCAAACTAATAAACATTATGATAGTTTATACACAAAAGGATTTCCCTAAATAAAATTACGGGATATCTAATATTGATGACACAGAAGATTTTATCTTTCCACGGTAGTAAAGTTGAAACGTTGCAGAACATTCTAATAATGATAAAACAACGATGGAATTGGCCAAATGGATGTTACGACTCATTTACTAGGTTTACCTCCGAAGCTTATCAAGCATATTAGCTTTTCTGTTCATAAAGTTCAATCTCATTATGTTGTAATATAAGCCGTAAGGATTTCTGACTTTTAAGAATATACTGATTTTAAAATAGCCTTTATCTTAGTATTAAACATCGAAGCACACACAATACAATGCCTAATTAGTTGGCTAATTGTCTACAGGTGTGGGCAAACATCATTAGTGAACAACAATATTATGACCGGTGTTAAGTCACAGTATTAAATAATTATATAGCTTTAATGGTAACACGTATTGCTAACTTATTACTTGGATGCTCTAATGTGTTTAAAAGTTCAACAAATCACACACACACACACACACACAAAGCAAATCAGGAGGTACAGTGGAGGTTTTGTACTTAATATGATAAAAAACATTCACAATCATTTTAGTGGAAACAAAAAGCAACCTTATGAAAAGTGAATCAATATCTTTTAAACGTTTACTGTCTTGTAAAACCTAAACGAATGTTACAAAAGAAAACTTAAACATTTAACAAAGTTTTCATCATTTTTACTCAAAAACATCAAATGCTTAGTTTAGTTAGCTTCAAGTGCTAATAAGATGGTTCAAATTCTACTAATTTTCCTGGTTTTTTTTTGTAAAGATTCATTCTAAACATATTACAACATATATATGTCGGAAAAGATTGTCTGGAATTTTTCCTAAATTATAATGGTCTGTGGAACACGAGTATCAGAACATGTATTGATATATTGATAATGGAAGGGAGGACGGGTTCCCAATGGTCAACGGGTTACCTCAAAGGCCCCTCTGCCATCATTCTCCCCCACAACCACAGCATTATGTGCTGCCCTACACACATGACTCTATAATCCTTGTATGGCTTAATACATTGATACCCAACGTGCCTAACAGTCTAAAATTGTGTGAAAGAGAGATCACTTCTAACTATATTATCCTCTCTCACAACTGCATCAGTATTGTGTTGTGGCCTACTTAGTACACTCGTGTCTAAATTATCGTTGTTAAAGATATTGAGTATAACTTAATTTACTCATACTTTTACTATCACATTCCCTTCAACCCTACAATGTTCAAAAGGAATATACTTCTGTCACCCTCCTTTACAATCATATTAGTATGTGTCAGCCTCTACACATGTATCTATAATCTTTGGGGTAGCACACATATGCCCTCTTTATCACCCTTCCTAACAAATTCAAACTGCGTTTCTATATAAATCTCCTCCAGATCCAGCACATTATGTGTTACCCAACCAACACGTCTCGTCTCTTTCATTAATAACTATTAATACTACTTACTTGGTACTACTACTTGGTACTACTTACTTTGTTACTTGGTTACTGGGTTACTTTAGTACTACTTACTTTGGGGGAGCGAGCTGGTCTAGTGGTTATAGCGCGGGACTCCGTTTCCTGGGGTCCCGAAGTTCAAACCCCGCCAAATCACCAATGGATTTTATCGAAGTGATATTGCTGTAACCCCTAGGTCTAGCCTGAAGTAATGTGAAAAACAATTCCGGGCTCGTGCCTAGCGTCCTAGGACAAAAAAATTTATACTACTTAATTCATATATGTAGCAATCCCTTTATCCTCCCCAATCGCCTACAAACCCAAACTGTGTGAAAGCAATATACTTCTACCTTTTAGCACACTCCTTCAGAACATTAACATAACACGAGGACCTATGCAAATATCTGTATAGTCCATATAGCAGCAAATAATGGTGGTTCGCTCAAAGATCCCTCTACCCTATATCACCCAACAACACAACCACAATATCCATACTATACCAATGACTCTAATCCACGTCACAACCAGCGAGCACAGAATAAAAATAGAGAGGACATCCGTGCGCGGCGGTGAAGCCAAATTTTCCGCGGGTTTGACCGAATCCGGAGTGGGGGGAGCGATGAGTCACCCTAGTACCGAGCGTCTTGAGCGCTGTCACGAGGCTCCGCTAGACAACATTTAGTCGGTTGTTGACATTGCATTCAGCAGAGCTGTAGTGTTGTGATTATGCCTGAAACTTGTGTGGCCTATGGATGCAACAACAGAGGAAGGATTGAAGGTTTAACAGAATTTGAACAAAACCATCTGATCTTACTGCTGAAATCAATTTGCAGGAAGTATGTGAACATCAGACTTCATCATTACAGTAAAATATTCAATGATAAAGTTCATTCCTCCCGAGTCAGGCACCACCTAACCAAAGTTGTGACATTTCTAGGCCAATAAGGGTAGAATTGTAAAACCACCGACATATTGAGATATGAACTTATAATATTGAACTATATTTACTTGTGAAATACAAGCTTAGAACTAAAACCTGTTTATTTCTCCACACAATAAATCATCTACAATCATTACCTGAAGAGAAAAAGTGCCAGTAAGTACAAAAATATTTATGTAGGTTAATTAGATAAGTGTTTCATTACTCGATTCTTAGGGCAGCAGTGAGTGACGAGACACGGTCGCAGTGACAGCGTGCAGTGCCCGAGTCGCGCCGCCGCGCGCCGTAGGACGGATTTTACTGCCTCTTCAACCTAATTTATTTCCTTTACCAGCCATCACAGAATTGTCAGAAAAATATATGTTAAGGTTCAACTAATGCTCTCAAACTTTGCCGCAGACGAAACTTTCCTGACCAAAAAATAAAAAACTTCCTCGATTACTAATAATTTCATGTTTTCACAAAAGAATTAATAATTTCTTTCAGTTTTATCAATTAATAAAAACAAAATAGGATATATATAATATTTTAAAGCTTACTAACATTGAGCAGTACTAATAAATTTTCCCTATTCCAAGTTTGGTAATTTTAGGACTACTGTAAGTGCGTCTAATCATCGAGTATCATAAAAAGGGTTTTTGACGCTGTTTTACTCGGTCACGGCGAGTTGACCGAATCCGGAGCGGGGGAACTTGGCGTCACTGCCTATAATGTCATTTAGATACGCATGGCCCCTCTATTTTTATTCTGTGCTCGCTGGTCACAACCGATGATGGTGGCTTAACTCGTTGACGCCCGTTTACTTTATAACCCTATCCCACAACTGCAATATAATTTATTATTTAATCATTAAATATTTTTGATTAAGCTGTAAATGTAATTATCCAATCGTAAATGGCTCAATCCACAACTGCGAAAATATGTGCCACTTAATATGCAGCCTTCCATAACAGCCAAAGATGGCGGTGTGCCTTACAGGCCCTCAAGGCTCTTTCACCCCCCCCCCCTTCACTATATACCCCCCTCTCGTCAGCCGGAAAGCTTCATTACCGTAATGGTGCTGACCTTTGCAGCTTTAGTTCCACCAAGTGCCACATTTAGTCGCAAGTTCACCTTATCTAGTTTGACATTTTAAGGTTCAGGCAGTCCTGAGATCATGATGGTCCAAGTTGGTGGAGATCATTCAAATCAACCATTAGGCGAAAGGTGTAAAATATATAATTGTGTATCAGAATATTTACAATTCGGCCGGATCATTAGTTTTATAATACTACGAAACTGTTTCCTTGGTCATAAATTTTCAAAATAATTTCATTAAATTTTAATAATATATTCTATAAATTTCTGTCAAGTAATGTCTATTCTAATAGTCTCCCTCATGCATAAAACTCCTCGTGGCGTTTACAATTCCTAAATAATTATTATATCAAATACTCTCAACTATACAACAAAATTTCACATTTCTTAATTCAATATCGAAATACTGTCATCGGAATGTAAGAGCTGCCTGGTAAATCATGTATAAAGTCAAGCTTAAGCTTTTTCTTTTGCTTTAAGCTTCATGATAAAAGACATGTCGTTTGGACATGCAATGCCCTACTTAGGTATACATCATAAGCAATTTTGTTCTAAACGAAATCGCTACATTTGCTAGATTTGTTGGGCCATAGGTAATCATTGTGGCATCTCCAATTTGTCTGAATGATAACAAAATAAACTAGTCTAGTATAATTTAGTTTTTATCTTCTATTTCAACCTTAAAAAAATTAGGTAACAAAAACAATTATTATTTAAACCTAAAATGTAAGGGAAGGTGATTCAATCAAAAGACTTTTAATTCAGAACGAGTAAGTAACATGTATTTTGGTTGTAAAGAGATTGTTAATTATTACTGCGTAATTGACAGTAGACCTCTAATAAACAGAAAAGTATTGTTTCTATATTGTATTTCCAATCCTTAAAATCATAGGGGATTTTAAATTTACTTATAATTTCCCCTTCCCAAAATGATTGTCACGTGTATATCTTTTACGTACAAAATAATTTTATGGTGTACTATAATACATAATTTTATGTAATCGGTGATAAGATGATTTGTACTACAGATCCGTTTCCCACCAGTTCTGAGGTAGTGATCATTGTACGGATTTACATTTACACTACTGATTTACCATTTTCTCTGATTTTTGCCATTATCTCTCAATATTAAAACCAAATTATCACCACCATCCTATTATGTATTGGTTGTTGCTCACCCAGTTGTTTTGTCATTGTTACTCATAGCCAGGAAAAAAAGCAAAACACACTTTTGCACCGAAAATGTATAGTATTTAAATAATAGTTTAAAATCAGCAGTTCCACATATTTCTAAAAACATAACTTTTCAAAGACATCCAATGTCAGTCCAATATTGTATTGGAATATGTATTCATGAGCCATGTCTTGAAAGACTTCAGTTTCAGGTACCTTGAAAACGGCTAGGTTATTGAAAATAATGAAATATTTATAAGAAAAAATCTCCCGGAACGTTCATATAATAATCATGTAAAGAATTACATTTTACAAACGCATATTGCATACTTGAAGTACCTAATTGACCCATAAAATATTAAATAAATGTTCATAGCATTTGTACGGTAAGAAAAACAATTATTTTAAGTTTAACTCCGTATATTCCGTATATTTTTTTATAAGTAATCTTTAACTTTATTTTCTTTATGATAAAACTAGATATTTTCTTAAGTTATTCTGAACGTTGCATGTGGGATCGCTTTACGAGCGTTTGCGGCAAGGAGATTATGTAGCTCTTACAGTCACCGCACCCGCATGATAAACAGATCTGCATATACAACGGTGTTTACTTTCTACGGAAATGTAGTATTAGGTTTTAATGACTAATGGCATGATATTACCTTAAAATTTTTTTTTCTCTTAGTACCTGAATTATGTAAGCAACTATAATACGTGTAGTTAGGTCCATGTAGATAACTCACTATAGTATAACTTAGTTTTTAAGGTTGTATAAATAACTTTATAATACTGTAAAGAAGTTTTCGTTAATTATAAAAACTCAACATTTACACACAAAGATATTACTATAAACCTTTTTATATTAAATTATTTCTTTAATATATTTTCCGTCGAATTTTGTTTGTGTAGTTTGGTTATATTTACGTGTATTAATCCGTGAACTTCTTAAAGTATGGATTATTCTGTATTATATTAATTTCTATTTCATTTACCTTTGTAAAGTGAGACCAGATACATAGGTATACAGTAGTATAAGACTACTTATAATTCCACTACTTGCCATCAACTTTGTGATGCTTGAATCCACCATAATCGGTTGTTGAGGAAACAAAAATAATGAACAGAAAAAACAACACTCTCAGAGATTCTTTCCAATTCAAATACTTTCCAAATTAATTAAAAGAAGGAAAAAAAATCTTTACACTGATATTCAATACTCAAAACCAAGTGAGCCGTATGCAAACCAGGGAACTACAATCTTTGTAATTTTTAGGTAACATTTTGAATATTTGTATGGTTATTTTTACACAACGCAATGCACTATTGAATTGTTTTTGTTTAAACGGCCGTGTACATTAAGCTGTAGTTAATATCATCATTCACTTATAAAATTTCCTTGCCGACTTCGATGTTACATTTAAATTTACTGTTGTTTTACGAAACTTTTGTTTTCAGAATTATGTCACGCTGCGACGAAGATTCAAGCATCCTTTCGTGGACACAAAGTGAGAAAACAGGCAGAAGAGACGGACAAGCTGACCAAAGAAATGGAGAAGGCTAAGGTACGAAACTAATATTTTATTATAAGGTTTGTCATAACTATGGGGATTTTAGATCTCATGCGGATACGGCAAAAATCTAAAAAAAATGCCCATACCTTGTTGAAGATTCAGAAAAGGCCTAATGGAAAAACGAATCACAACAGAAACCAACCTAAGTTGTTTAATTTTATTGTTCTGTAAATAATAATCAATTTACAATTTGACTGGTTAGAATGTTTTTGAGTGTTTTCGAATATTCTAATACACTGTAAATATCGATAGATAATCTTACTAAATCTGAGGTGTATTTAGAGCCAAGTATGAGCAAGTTTAGTATAATTTTTCATTTCTGTTTTAGCCTTTACTGACAAAAATTAAACCCATTTGTTTGCCATTTTCATTAATTCAAAACACAGTAGTTAGACAGTTCGGTCTAGTTTCAGCATAACCAAACAGTTTGGCTTACAATCATCTACACAGTCATTTACTATTATTATAGTAAATTTATAATCAAGTATAAAAATTAACCGTTCAGATAAAAATGTGGCTACTTAAAATACTTAGTTTTTGAACAAACACAACTATTTGGTAATATCTTATAGAAAATCTATTTACTGTAACAATGTTATATAAAGTATAAATACACAAAGTATCCATCTTCATTGTATGTCTGGACTCAAACTCCGCCGGGTTAGCGTCGTCTGTTTTCTTAACTGATCAGTTACCATAAATGTCTCGTATTCGTGTTTGTGTCGTGTTTAAATGTTTACTTATTATTTTCGTGTAAATTATACGACGCTCTTCGTATGAAGAAATAATACTGTCCTTGTGCAGCCTGATGATGGTGTCACACAACCTAAACTAGTTGTGCTAACAACAAAATTGGATTGCTTAATAGCATGTATTTAAGCCTTTTCTAACAAAGTGTTCATTATACTGCCACTTGAAAACTGTTGTTTTTAGATGGAAGAAGAGGAAATTCAGAACATCGACCTGACAGATCCTGAACTGAACAAGGCTGCCACTAAGATACAAGCTTCGTTCCGGGGCCACAAAGTGCGTAAGGAGGAAGGTGATGGTGAGGCTAGCGGAGAGGCCAAGTCGCAGTGAATTCGAGGCCATATTGGCCTGTCATGTCTTTCGGCCTCTGGCCTCGCTCTATCAGAGCTACGCTCCTGTCGCCCTAGCCTCTTCCGTTCACACAGGAGCTTCTATGGTTTAGCGATTTACATTTTTTATAAACCGTAGTTTACGCCGGTTTTGTATCAAGGTATTTTAGCCTGGGTGGCTACTGAAACCGTGGTGAAATTTGCCAATTCGGTTTGAACCGTTGTTACTGAATTAAACTGAGAACAATCGAATTTGTTGTTGTTGACATTTGGAAACTATATCGTATCTTGACATAAAGTAACATGTCGAGCCCCTACCACGTTAGTAACGTACACGCTTTTATAATTTGCTAGTTAACCGGGTAGCTTGCGATGTTTGTTTTGTAAATAGCTTTAGTGAAAATGCTGCTCGTAGCTTATCGAATTTGTTGAGCATTTTGTAATAGTTGACGGTTATGCTTTCTATCATCTGTTCTATCTAAAGTTCCTTAACCGATGTTAGTATTGTTCATATTGTTCACAAAAAATATTTATTAAGGTTTGTATTGAAAGACATGTCATAACTATTATATAGAAGGATAATTATTTATATTTTGAATTGGCGCATTTTGTATAAAGTAGTCGCTTGGTTTCTCCAACACATCTTGAATTAACAGTTGAGTTGATATAGTTATATTACCTAATTACTATTTTGGCCTGTTGGGTAGACTATTTCTAAAATCATTTCACACGTTCATGTCATTTTATATTGTTGTCTCAACGAGACTCTAGTAAGGCTAAATATCTTAAACAGGTATTGTAGTTAAACTATAGATGATTGCTCATAAATTAAGCTGAAACACGTGTAGTGTTAAACCTATTGTACCTCGAAATTTGCCTTCGAATCTATTATCTTATAATCCTCGATAAAATATTTAAGAAATTCATCTCTATAATAGTTTACTCATACAACTACGTAATATAAGACTTCGTGTTTGTTATAAATATCTTTTTATTTTGTTTCTAGAAAACTAAATCCAATCCTTCTAGTTGATAACTATATAAAATTATTTTGTGATTTTGACGATTATTTGTATAAATTGTTAGAAAGTTTTGGTACAATTTGATCCCCATAACTATAATCTGCATAACTTATTTCTAGTCGTTGTTTAAAAGGGGGAATAACAATGAAATTAGTGTTCAAGTTAAACGTCTTTAATAATAAGTTAGTATTTGCTTGGTAAATAAATATTACAAACGATACTTTGACATGACAAAAAATTAAATTCTTTTGAGTGTTGGAAATATCGTTCGAGATTGATTTTATTAAGAAACATATCTACATTGTGCATGAAAGAGAACAAAAATATCTCTTTTTTTGTTACTTTCGGAAGTATTTAATAACATATTTGTAATGTTGAAAATGTTGCAATATTCAAAAGTAAAGAACAATTTGTACAGATTTTTGTTCATCTACAGAGTAATGAAAATTTTGCATTTTTAACATAAAAATATTTGAAAACAATTATAATGTTAGATTATTGTAAGCAATATGACAGTCAATTATGTAGTGTGATGCTGATTGAAAAGATACTTAAAGGCTATGAATCAATCGTCAAATGTTTAAATTTATTGGTACACAGAAATGACAAAACTGATGTATTTTTCAATAATGAATAATAAAACGGGTTTAAAGGGGACAGTGCATGAAATCAGGATTTATTTTAGTACTAAATTATTGATCCTTACACTAATATATAAGTGTTTATCCAATCGTATTATTAGTAAAACTCTAAAAAAAACTTGTATATACGCACAATAATTATTTTCAACCGTTACTAAATTCATTCATTTACTACTAATGTAAAAACGTAGTCAGTTTTCTGACAAAACATTTAAAATGATTAAATATTGCTTTGTTTTTTTGGCCATTTCTACTTGTCAGCATCTAATTTATCTATGGGAGATTAAAACAGATGAAATATGTTAATAGTCTATTTAATTCTACCGATTTCTTGAAAAAAAAAAATTATTGACATATTTTTTATTTCCAATGTGGTTATTTGTAATAATTAGTACCAAAATCATAAAAATAATATTACTACTCTCGTTTGCAATGATAACACTGTACTAAACAGTCTATCTTTAGACATTTGATTTGAATTTAAGAATTATTTAAAGTACCGCTAATAACCTTCAACTAAGTATTATACATATATGTAAAGGCATACCATCTACTAGTTTATTTTAATTTAACTTGATACAATATTGTTTGTGACAAAAATCTTCTAAACATCTTATTTCCTTTGTCGGTTGTAAGATAGACATTGATTACAGCATAGTAAAGAGTTACTTATGTCGTAACATAATTATGTCATAGTAAAATGTACGTTTACTTTGAAACACAAGTTATGAAGTTGTAAAAACTTAGTATTCTCTAAGGTTACGTACAATCATAGTCTATAGAATCCGGTTGGGTATATTTTATACTTGCTCTGAGCTTGTGTTTGTTGGCGACTGGAGCTTGCCATTGATATTTAGCATTTAACGCATTTCTTCTGATAAAACTGTTACTACGGCTCACAAGGTGTTTCAGGTGGAAAATGTAAAGGAATAATCTTATCACTATAACTAAAATTATATAGTTTCTGTATCAAAGTTATTATAAGTTATTGTTAAATAAAGATCTTGTTCTATTTACTAGTGTTGTATATTTGTTATGAATCCTTAAACACACATGCATAATATGTTATTCAGCTAAACACAATAGAAAGGATGCATTAAATGGTTAAAAAAAATAACAAAATTGATTTCCAAAGTCATGCGTGTGAAAACACTTTTTAAAACCAAACATTTTATGAAACTTTTTTATTAGGGACTAATGAACAAGTAAACGTCATAACTTATCGAATAGGAATTTGCAAATATATTGTTTTTTAAGAAACAGTTTTCTTTTACAATCAACTAGATACAACATCTCTGATACCCAAAAATATTATACAAAAATTCAAACCTCTAAGAGAAATGTATATATATATATATATAAGAAGTAGCATTCCATCACATTAACCTTATATTCGTAATATTTTTTATATTTGCAATCACGAACTACAGAAAATTGCAATGATAAATGTCTCTGACGTATTATGTATCCTACACTGACAACGACCTGAAGAAAGATTGTTGTGTACCCATACTAATTCAAATATTTAAGTGACCTGTGATGGGTTTGAACAAAATAATATCCCTTTCGTTCAACTCTAAAAAATAAAAATAAAAATGTGGGGACGAATGCAAGATGTGGCATAGACAGGGCTTCTCGGTAGTAAGCAGGGAATCCCCTAAAGTGTTTTATCCATGTGGGACTCACCTAACCAACATTACCAGGCTTTGGTGATCAAAATGTATATACAAAACACATCGCAATTGAGGCTACAAAATTGTTGCTCCTCACATTAATATAGAAATGTTTTATCCAATCGTATTATTACTTAAACGAATAAACTTGTACATACGCACAATAATTATTCTCAAACCTGATTACATTAATTCATTCATTACTAATGTAAAGACGTAGTCAGTTTTCTAACAAAACATTTAAAATGATTAAATATTGCTTTGTTTTTTGGCAATGTTTACTTGACAGCATCACATTTTACCTTTGGGATATACAAAACACATCGCAACTGAATATGGTATTACATTTTAGTTTAGGTCGGCCAATAGATATACTACTTTTAGATTAGGTCTTTCGATTGATCCTGGAGAAAGCATGACAATACTGGAATATAGATATAAGAAAGCTAAGAGCAGAGATAGAATAGATGGATGGCAGAGAGAGTGGCGACATGTAGTTGGTGAGGCCAAAAACCTTCTGAGTTTTGAGTGGCCACATAAGAAGGGTAAGGTAAGAAATCTACTTCACCTTAGTATTTTGAATAAATAATATTGTTGTGCGTGATAAAAAAAGTTAGATGTCAAAACCATACAAAACCCCTTCATTGGGAAATCGAGCAAACCTCTATAAAATGTTAATATCTCTTTCTCCATATCCGTTGTTTCATACAATATTCCACTGTATCATTAAATTAAAAGTGTTTTGTACATTAAAAATTTTATTAATGCAGTTTAATTTATCGTCTTCTTTATCCTTGGCTGCACTTGGAGGACTTAGAGTTTGCCAATCTGCTCCTGTTTTGAGCAATACTGCATTTCCTTTACGAACAAGAACCCAAGTACTGTAGACCTATGGCATACTTAAAAAAACGGTATCAGCAAACTTACACATACTTTCACCCATAAGCTTGCAAACAACCTTTATCATGGGTAAGCGGTAATACGAATAAATCACAAACGTTGCAATAACTTGTGAACCGAAACTGTTACAGTAATGGGAAGTTGCACTATTTTTGTTTAAAATTAAGGACCATTGCACATTCATTTTAATCAAAACCGGCAGTTTTTTTCTAAAATCCGATATTTTTTGTTTTATGGGGGTTTTATGGGAAATAACATAAGTCACAATAACTATTGAACCGTAAATTTTTATGGAAATTAAATTTGTATTAATTTACTTCACTTTGTTCAAAATTTAAAGGACTATTATATACTAAATTTCTATCAAAATCGTTCGGATAGTTTTTAGAAAATCCGATTTTTCCGTTATTTCATGGGGTTATATGGGGAAAACACTACTATTTTTTTTGTATAAAAAAACGCCTGGAGACATAATAAATTAGTACCAACGAACCAAATTTCATCAAAATCAGACGATAGGTTTGGTCTGTAGCTCTGTACATATCCACACACACACACACACACAGACAGTCATCATTACAATAACCACTTTTTTGGGTTCAAGGGGACAAGAAACGGATATATACATGAGAACTCAATTCGAAAATGTTGACTAAAACAACACTTTCTCTCCTATATATAGGGGGGAAAGTAAAAAGTAATCCATACATATAAATAAGTAGGTAATATACATAAACATATATTTGATTCTAAAGGTAAGATGTTACTCACAAGAAAGTTTCAGAAAACCAGTGCATAAAAATAGATTTGTTCCTATGGCCGAAATTATGCAATTGTAAACAATAGGTAATGGAAGCCGTCATTTAAAACTATTCATGTTGGCTAAAATATGATACAGGTATTATTTTATATTCAATTTAAGATAAGAGAATTATTTACTTAAGCGAGTCTTATGAGCTGAATGATAAGTACCATAAAGCAAGGCAGCATCGAAGATGAATTGTTATGATCAGATTTAAACTGAGGCTTTTAAAGCCAAGCTTTGCATCTTACAATAAATCATCTTTTAGCTCATCCGCTCTAACCCATCAATTCATTTTTTTACAATTCTTTCTCATTATTAAATAGCCAGTGATCCTGCATGTTGTATTTATTTTATTAACATGGTAAATTATCAAAATTATAAAGTTCTCAACACATACAAATATTTCCTTAAATTAAACTCTAGTTTGGCATTAACAAAAACATGTATATGTTACATTTTTTATGTTCCGAAATTGCATGTAGTTTGTATAGAAATAGATGGCCACAATTTGTATATTCTTACCTATTATATAAGGTTAATTAGCAAGACTATAAAATAAACCATTTTAAATTAGTTTTATAAATAACATGTACACTACTAAATAGATTGTGTGAAATGTTTTTTTTCTTACTTTTAGGACTGTGGACAGATATAGCAATGCCTAAGATATTACATAGGATAATCTTTTATCAATGGATTACATTTAATATTCTTGTCAAACTAATCAATTCATGCAGTCCCTGAGGTGTATGATTGGCGCTGGATGAAATTACTCGCTGAATAGCATACCCCGATTGGGATTTGATACACTTATCAAGTAATCAAATTAAAATACCTTTTTTCCAAGAAAAAATCTAAGATATACAGGCACTAAAATAATATTTCTGAAAGAGCTCTTAACATCAGGAAACACTATCATTAATAGCACACATTGTCCATTATGTAACTTGGTTGAGTAATAGTAGTTGGACTGACGATTCTAGATCATGACTGTGGTTTATGAGTACGATTTCTCAGGCAGTTAAACTGGAGTTGTATGTCCGATAGTGAGTTCAAAGCATCGTAGGTAGAGATGATATTACAATTAATTTAGACCTTCAATGGATGATGGTATTGCAATAGTATAATTATACTGGGGAGTAAATTCGCATTTAAGGCAAGCAAATTATAGTATCTGCAGCCTCCTGACCTATACTCATCAGCAACTCATAAACTATACGTTTATACGCAGTGTCACTGCCTGATTCAGCAGCAGTTATGTTGAGAGGATTCGATAAAGAATGAAAAGAGTTATAAGGATGACGCGTAACATTTTGATTCGTCACTTTTACCTTAAAATCCCATATACAAAACGTATAAATCAAATTTTTGAAGCAGCATCAAATAGTAATAACGAAACGCATACCATTGATACCGTTTTGAAAGTTAGTGCTCACAGATTACTACCGAGAGGGCTATCTTCCGTAAAGTTGCACTACACCACAGCTTTCTCGTTATAGCTCCTGAACTGTAAGAGCATTAACGATGGGAGTTAGAGCACTAATCAGCACTAACGAAACACTAACCATTGATACATGTTTTATAATTAGCGCTTTCATGTGTGGGGGGTGACTTCAAAGGCCTCAAATTATTGCAGTAAAACAACCAAGACAACAACCAACACATGAGAGGAGGTTTTGATTACGATTTAACAATGGATCATTTTCATTGGACCTTTTGGAAACTAATTTCCAATAACTCATCTGGTTTTATTGTATCTGTAGTTGATCGTTTCAATCATAATTTTACCTTAGCAATGCAAGTAGATTATCAAACTGAACAAAGTAACTTTACTAAACACATTTATGGAGGCTACAATGTTTTATTTAATTAGTTAAAACACCATTCTGGGTAGAGCTAAAATTATTTTTACAGTAAATTTTAGGTAGGTATTGTGGTACAGTATTGAATTTTGTAAGAAATATTTATTTAGACTAACATTAACAGTCAACACTTATTACTTAAATGCACAGTATTCTATATGTGTTATGTGACGAATATTTAGATTTTCGTTTGCTTTTAAATAATGTGTCATTAACTATTCAAAGTTTGATTTATAAGCCTAAGTAGTGTAATATTTTTCAGAAATAAACAAAACATTATAAGAATCCATATTTAGACAAACAATAATTTGATCTACTGGAGTTCCTTTGTTCCCATCAGTAACAAACAGTTTTGCACATTTTTGTATATCAAAAACGTCTTGTACTCACGAACGTGGCACCACCTACCGTGATCATCGACAAATCTGTCCTTTTTAGCCTTCAAGCGTAAGCTGACACCTAGAAGAACGAAGCAGATATGTTGTTTAGATATCACCCCACAAACACTACTTAAGTTGTGTACTAAGTAGTTTCATTGCACTTTATTTTATCGTATGTGTCGTTTTAAAAATGATGGTTTGATTGTTATAATCGAAGGCAATAAAATGGCAATTGATGTGTAAGTATTATTATATAAAAAATTACAAAAAATATTGGGGATACGGAGTACTACCCCCCGGCAAAAACCACCACCACTGGTGAAACGTGACGTCACGAAATCTGCCAACTAACCAAAATGGGAGCAACCCCTCCTATACAATTATGATTTTATGTAT